AGTTCATGAAGAGGGTGTTGAACAGGGACCAGACGACATGGTCTGGCACGGAGGACTCACTTCGGATGTGGATCACGGTGGACGTGGGGAGCGTGCTGCTCTGGGGCCCCCCCAGCACCTCCACTTCGTGCTCCTCTTTGAGCATCTTCTGGCTTTGGAGAAGGAAGTAGTGAGTGAAGGGTTGAGAAGTGTTGTTTTCCGTGTGGAGTCAGGGGCGGCTGTGGTATTCAGATGCTGGGAGGGCGCTCAGCGGTTCTTTTTTCCCCGTGTAGTTTCTGTTTCTCAGAAGCATGTATTTCTTGTAAGTTTCTATTTCCTGCTGTTTATAAATTGGTGAATTAGCCAGGGACCAATGGTTTGGAACAAATTCTTGAGGCTCAAATTACTTCATGGCAGAGTGGGAGGGTAGGCTGAGGGTTAAGGAGGGGCTTCCTCATCAGAAACTCCATTCAGGACTGGTCACTTCCTAAGTCTTGGGTTTAGGGGGCCCCGGGGATTTTTCCCCAGGCTAGAAAGTTCAGGATCTCAGTGTCCCGGTTCAGGGCCCCTGCCAGCCCCCCACTCCAGGTCGGGGAACAATCCCCCCAAAGCCCTGACCTCACTCGCCACAGGCCTCATACCCTGAACTCCCTCGCCCTTTCCTGGGGCTGCGGTCCTGCTCTACCTGGGTTTGGAGGCGAAACCTCCCCGTGTCTCCTGGTGCAGGTCAGAGGCCCGGTCGCTCATGTTGGGCTCCCAAAGCAGCCCCCCAGGCCTAGGAATGGGGACTCTGGGAGCCCTGACTGAAGAGGGGGCTGTGTTGGGACGCGGGAGGATTCCAGGGCCTGTGGGGGCAGCTTCAGAGCCCAGGGCACACATGTGCCGCCCCTACTTCCTCCCTGTGGGTCCCAGCATTGCCCATGGGTTTGGTTGGGTCGTAGCCAGGCAGGAGGGACCTGGAGGGTTGGCAGAGAATTGTCCCCCAGTAGGGAGGGAGCCCTCAGGCAGAAGGATCATGAATCACAAATTGGGGAAAATCGGAGCCTAAAGGTGGACCTGCAATTCTTAATATCAGGTTCCTAAATTCTCTCTCTGCTTTCTTTTCTGCCCGCTTTGTCTGCTGCTACTTTTCTACAGAGATAAAAGCCACTGTTTGCATCCAACCGTTTCTTTTTATTGTTTGTGTGAATCAGTGAATTTTTATCAGCATCTCGTGGCTGTAATTCTAAAGTAAAAGCTACGCTTTTGTTTGCGTGTGTATGTGTGTGTTTACGTGTACAGACACGGGCTTCATTGTGTGCTTTTGGCCATGAGTTACCAAATTTGGCTTAAAGAGTACTCATAAATTAAATAATAAGCCCAAATGCTTTTCACATTCATGTGACTTAAGTAAAATCTTTAATAAGCTAGCTTTACAATTACTGGTAATGTTAGAAATGTCTCAATAATAGTCAACATCGATTTTTGTTTGCATTTATTTACTTATTTTGTTTTTCTTTATTTATTTTTGAGACAGAGTCTCGCCCTGTTGCCAGGCTGGAGTGCAGTGGCGTGATCACGGCTCACTGAAGCCTCCAACCTCCGCCTCCTGGGTTCAAGTGATTCTCCGTCCTCAGCTTCCCAAGTAGCTGGGACTACAGGTGTGCGCCACCACGCCCGGCTACTTTTTGTACTTTTAGAAGAGACAGGTTTTCACTTTCACCGTGTTGGCCAGGATGGTCTCAATCTCTTGACCTCGTGATCCATCTGCCTCAGCCTCCCAAAGTGCTGGGATTACAGGAGTCAGCCACCGTGCCCGGCCTATTTATTTATTTTTTGAGACAGAGTCTCACTCTTCTGCCCAGACTGGAGTGCAGTACGCAATCACGGCTCATTGCAAACTCCCCTCCTGGGTTCAAGTGAGTCTCCTGCCTCAGCCTCCCAAGTAGCTGGGACTATAGGCACCCACCACCATGCTCGGCTAATTTTTGTATTTTTAGTAGGTAAGGGATTTCGCCATGTTGGCAAGGCTGGCAGATCACCTGAGTTCGGGAGTTCGAGACCAGCCTGACAACATTGAGAAACCCCATCTCTACTACAAATAGAAAAATATCAGCCAGGGGTGGTGGCGCATGCCTGTAATCCCAGCTACGCGGGAGGCTGAGGCAGGAGAATCGCTTGAACCTGTGAGGCAGAGGTTGCGGTGAGCTAAGTTCACGCCATTGCACTCCAGCCTGGGCAGCAAGAGCGATACTCTGTCTCAAATAAATAAACAAAGAAGAAAGAAAAATTTAAAAATGTCTGGTCCAGGCGCTGCCATTGTAGAAAAGTGTAAGGATCAAGGCCTGATATAGGACTTGGGTTAAGGGGCCAGGCCCAGCAGCAGATGGTGAGTATCTGGCCCTGGAGATTCTTTATCATCTGAGAAATTGCTTGGGATTTTATCACAGAACTACGGGTGCGGTGGTACAAGGATGCCCACGATCAGGGCCCAGATGTTCAGGCACTTGGCGGTGGAGGCGTAGGCCTGGGCCCCGGTCAGGTCGCCAACCATCTTCCTGTCCCTAGACTGGGGCAGAGGAGACTGTGAGGGGAC